CAAAATCTTTAAACATTAGCATCTTACATAACCACAGTATAATAATCAAAACCAGGAAGTTAACAATGGCACAGAAAAAGTTAAAATCTTCAAATTTCATGAATGACTCCACTAATGTCCATTTTCTGGACTAGGACCCAATCCAAGGAAAATACATTCATTGCATTTGACTGCTGTGGTACTCTGCAGGTGCCAAGATGGGATTAAACCCACAAATATTTTATTAGGGGAAATGGCTGTATGAGAAAAAGAGGGGAGAGATGGTAAAAGCTGGGAACAATTCAGACTTCCGTGCAACTCTGACCCTGAGTGAAGGAGGGAGGAATTTGGGTTGATGCCTAAGGAAGGTTCTGCAAGACCTCTGGGGAGTCCTTAAGCCAAAGTCCCTTGTTTCTCAGGAACAGGCTTGCTAGGCTGTTATTGGCTAGGAGCAGCCAATGGGAAGTGTTTATGTAAATGAACTTCATAATGCAGGTGACGATCTGTGAATTATATTCTCAAGACTGCAGAGGTTGTCATGTCTCCTTCAACATCTCTAATGTGGGACAGTTGCTCAGCCTTTCTTTTCAAGATCTTGCCATTTTTGAAAAATGCTGGACAGTTATTTTGTAGAATGTCCCTCAATTTGCATTTAACCTTTTCTTGTGGTTAGACTGAAGTTATGCATTTTTGGCAAGACTGCCACCCTTCTCAGGGCATCATATCAGGAGGTAAATGAGGTTAACCTGTTTCACTGGCTATGTGAATTTTGATTAGGTGGTTAAGGCACTATCTACCAAGTTTCTCCACAATAGTTACTTTTCCTTTGTAAGTACCTGGTGGAGAGGTAGCTGAGGCTATATAAATATACTGTTCATCAAATTTCTGTCCCCTAAGTTTAGTATTCATTGATGATTGCTGTCTGAAACAATTACTGTGGCGTTTATCAAAAGGTATTTTCTATTTCCATTATTTCTTCTACATACTGATCGACTTCTACATACTTATCAACTGAAATCCTACTTTATGGAACAGTTTCCCCTGCTCCTTCACTTGTTTAATAAATTATTTATATCAATATGGATTTTTAAATTCTATGTATTATTACTATCCAATAACAGAAATACTACTTATCTTGCAAGATTCGGTTCTGATTAAATGGCATCTGGCATATTGTAATCACAAAATTAATACTAGATTTAGACCCAATGCTACTTACAGCAGGAAGACACTGCCCAAGTACTTAAGACACTTTGGTCTCCTTTTCTTAAATCATATAATAGGAGTAATAATACCTACCCCAATAGGTTATTTTGATGTTATGTCACTTACTGAATGTGAAGCTGCCAAATGCTTTCTACATATTAAAGATTCCAACGTTCCCTCACTGTTTTAAAAGCTCAGTTTGGAATAAGACTTAATGTCCGCAAAATTAAAGGTGGCAGACACCAAAAGAGAGCAAGCTTTCAGCCCTGAAAGGATTCCAGGCGGTGGTCTTAAACATCAACCAGGATTCGGGCACGTCCTCGAGTGACCTTGGGGGAAGGAGGGGTAGGACGCACCGAGAAGTTTGCAGCAGCAGCAGCAGCAGCAGGTACAGCGGGGGCCCTCCCGGCTGCCCCGGACCTGGAAGCTCAGGGACCCCGCGCGACCAGACCCGGGAAGAGCGAGCAAAGGCCCATGCGTAAAGGCCCCGGGCAGCTTCTCGCACGGGGGTGGCGGGTCTGGGTCAGGCCGCACCTCCTGCCCCGGAGCTCCTTAAAGCCGAGCCAAGGCCGGCGGCCCGCCGAGGCCTGAGAATCAGCGGCCGAGCTGCGTTCGCGGCGCAGCGCCTTCTCCGTGTCCCTTCCTTCCGAGCACACTCTCAGCTACCGGGCTTCGGGTAGTCGTGCACGTCCATGGACGCGGGGAAGCCGGCTCGTCTGCCACTCACCTGAGAACCTGTAGCCGGGAGCCAAGAACCGCAGCTCAGACAGCGAAGGCCCCGGCGGTCGCCGCCGATCAGCTTCCGAACAGCCGTTCCTGCGCTTGCGAGGCAGCCATCGCCGAGCCACCGTCACTTCCGTCATTCAAACCGCCCGCCAATGGCGGGGCCAAACCGCGGGAACCCGCCTAGTCCCGCCTCCCCCGGGGCCGCCGGGACTGCCGCGCTGGAAAAGCTCGCGCACGCGCGCGGGGACACGCCAGCCGCTACGTAGAGCCCATTATTTCTCATACCGCCGCTTTTAATACTTCATCTCTCTCAGCCTGCTTATTTCACAGACCAGGAAACAGAAGTTTAGAAAGGGGAAGGTACTCATCCACAGCTTTGAGGGTGGCTTTCGTCTTAAGGCACAATCATGAAGATGCCTTGAGATTGCCATCCTTTTATGTACTGAGTGCGCAATTCATTTGGTACGGTCATGCTGCAGTTAGTTTCTGATTGTTTTCATTAAAGACCTCCGACTCGAAAACAGTGAACCATATCACGATCTTCTGTTCTTCCAGAGGTCCGACACACCTAGAACATGTCAAAATTTATCTGCTATAAATAACATAATTAGGGGAAGAGTACAGATTCGCATTTATGGAGCATCTTATTGTGCCAAGTACAGTGCGCTAGGTGTAGGAGAGACATGGGTAAGTGGATTATGGCCCTTAGCCTAGATTTTGTAGTCTAGTTAAACATACCAGGAATCAGGATTAGAAAATGGGGGCTAGGGGAGAGGTAAGTCACTGACATGAATTTATCTGGCTTCCTTGTGGAGAAGAGGTCACAGGGAATTAAAACAGAAGACTGAAGGCAGGGAAACCAGTTGGGATACAACCGCAGGAAGTGAAAGATGATCATATAGAGAATGGAGAGAAGTGGGTAGGTTTAAGAGGCAAATAGGCCAAACATCAGAAATTGGTAGTTACCTAGGCATTTGGCAACTGAGTAGATGAAGGTAACATCCTACTGCAACACAGAAAGAAGAACAAGTTTGAAGGGGGATATGAGTTAAGCTTTGAATATATTTGACTTTATGCTGTTTATAGGATATCTAGACAAAGGAATGAATTGCAGAAATGTTTAGGAGGCAAAATTAGCAGTGTTAAACAATTGTGTGGGAGGTTGAGAAAAGAGAGAGTGAAGTTAACCTTACAGGCTTCTAGGTTGGGGAGAAATGTTGATGATGGTGCCACCAACCAAGAAAGAAATCAGAAGTGGGAGTCAGTAAAGTGGGCAAGGTGAGGAGCTCAGCTCTGGACATGAACTTCACATGCCTGTGGAACATCCAGTAATGTACAGTAAGCAAATGAATACAATGTTAGCCCACAGAACTGGGTTAGCATATAGATTTGGGCTTCCTTTCCATATGAGTAATACCCAAAGTTATAGAAATAGTTGAGATCATTTAGGAAGAATTCGCAGAATGAGAAGAGCAATGAGCCCAGTACCAAACTAAGGAACACCAAAACTTAAAGGAGTTGGAGAAAGGAACTGTCAAGTACATGAAGAAATAGTATGACTCCACCTCAGTTCTATAAAAGAAGCTGAGTTACAGAGAGGTTCAGTGACTTGGCCAAGAACACAGTAAAGGATGGAACCAGGACTAAAATTCACATTTTTATCCCAAATACTAGGGTTCTTCCTCCCTGCCTCCCTCTTCACTTCTTGTCACTTTTCTTATGATGAGTAATTTGTTCATTCTGAACATATTCTTCAATAGCCTCAACTCAGACTCAGAGATATGTTCCCACGCCCAACAAAAGATGTGCCCATTATTTCATGCCTTGGGCTATGTATAGTGCCCACCATGTGTTCCAAAAGCACACAGCACATTCCTCATTATGGCATTTATCAGTTCTTATTGAAAAGAGCTGTTTATGGGCTCTCTATTGATTAGACTCTGAATTCTTCAAGAACCAGGAGTGCATCTTGTTCAGTTTCCTGCCATGTAGAACTTCTCAAATGTTTGTTGAATGAATTAATTATATGTTTCATTTTCCCAACCTACATCCTGGACAGAAATTCTACAATTGGAAATTCTACAATTGGAAATTCTACAATTGGAAATTCTACAATTCTGAATTAAGGCTTGTTCTGTTTTTAACAGGAGGCAACGAGGAATCAAGGGAAGCCCAGTGGGCTTCAAGTCAGAACATTTGGTTTAACATTGCAACTCCGAGACTTTCTAGCTGTAGGACATTAATCCAAAGCCTTAGTTTCTGTTTTCGTTCTCTATTGTTGCCAAACAAACCACCCTGGAATGTCCAAAATGGCTCTCATTTCAGTGGCAGTTGATGCTGGCTGTCAGCTGAAAGTTCAGCTGGGGTTGTTGAATGGAGTGCCTTCATGTGGCTTCTCCATGTGGGTTGGACTTCTTACCAGCTGAGTAAGAGTGATAAGAGTCAGTATTCCCAGAGAAAGAAAGTGGAAGCTGCAAGTCCTTTTAAAGGCCAGGCTGAGAAGTAATTACATTAAGTTCTGCCATATTTTATTGATTAAGTATCCCAGGGCCAGTCCGGCGTCAACTGAAGGAGAAATGAACTCTGTTTCTTAATGGAGAGAGTGACAAAGAATTTGTGGCCATCTTTAATCCATCACCGTTTCCTTAGTAATATTTGACCCGCCCTCTTCACAGAGTGGTTATGAGACTCAAAAGGCATGAATTACAAGAAAGCACTTAGTAAACTCTAAAGAGCTACGTACGTGTTAGATAGTTTAACAGCTATTCTATTTTCTCTGTCCAGCGCCTTTCTGCCCTCTTCTGGTACAGACCTGACCCACCAGGTCACAAGGTTAAGCATGTGACTCGGACGGGGAAAATCATAGTTATTGATCTCCCTTGCCACTAGGGTTGACCCACGGATGGGTAAGTAATCTAAAGTGGGTCAATCAGTATTTCACATGAATTTTTCTTATCCGAGTCATCAGAGATGAATATTTTCTCTCTGGGCTCATGTTAGGATATAAAACTAGGGCTTCCCCAGTGAGGTTCCCTACCATGTAGACTCCTGCAAGCTGGTCTAGAAGAAAGAGTCTGACATTCAGCAAGGAACACAGAGAGAATCCTGACAGTGTTCAAATCCCTGACATCAGCCCATTCTGTAACTTACTGATAGGAACCATTAAGTTCCCCTTCCGCCCCCTTGTACTTAGGCTGCTTCAAATGGAAGTTTCTCTTTTTCTACAAATTAAAAGATGCTGTAGATTTATATTTAGATTCTCATAGACAAACATCTGGGCATCTTGGGAAATAATATAAAATAAAAGTTAAGATTTTGGACCTAGAGTCCAACTGCCTGGATTTAAATTTCTGGCTTAACAACTCTGTGACCTTGAGCTAGTTCCTGAAATTACCAAAAAGTCAGTTTTCTCATCTTTAAAAGGGACGTAGTAAAAGTGAGGTTTAGAGCTCTCAAGACAATGCCTGGCAAAAAGTGGGCAATAAGTGTCATCTTTTTTGGCTTTCATTTTAATACATTCATTTTAGACTACAGGAGGGAAAAAAAATCCCTTTTAAATATATTTATTGCTGTTTTGGCTTAATTTTTAATTAGGTCTTTTTGTTCTCTATAGTTTCTAGAGAGAAGTGTGTATGTTAAGCTTCTCATGTTGTTATCCCACTAGGACGAATGTTGATAAGAAGTGAGCAAGAGGAAGAGTTGCCCCTAGGCAGTAATGGCGTGAGTGTGACTGGTCACCATGTGATGCTGCCTCATCTCAAAATGCAACTGAAGCCGCTGAGGATGGGAGCAGTTTAAGTTGTTTCTTTGATGGTAACAGTTTCACTGTTCTGAGTTCACTTTAATCTTTATCCATATTTAGTGTGAGAGACTGACATTAAAGGTGGGGCTGGGGGGGGGGGCTTGATAATTCTCCTGTATAGAATTCAGAAGAAAGGAAACTCTGCAAGAAGTAAACAAACTTCCATCTAACCATCTGCCAACTGCCCTCATTCTCTCTGCCATAAACACCACAGAAGCTTAATAAGTGATAGTATCTCAATAGGGTAATTTAGAGCTGTTACCAGGAGTGAGATTAAGAGTGACCAGCAGGAGAGAAAAGGCTTTTTAAAAGTTATAAATATATGTTTTAAAGTGTGTGCGTAGGTCTATGGGTGGGAAGGAACTGGGCCATTCATTTAAGGTGAGTGAGAAATGAGAAGAGAGAATGAGGAAATTAATTGATTTTGTTTCATATTTTAAATCTTTTTCAACACATCACTAATATGATATTTATTAATATTACTACTATTTATTAAGCCATAAGCGACTGTGAATTACATACAGAGATGCCTAAAAGAAAAAGGGAGAAAATGGAGATTATCTACAACCCAGAAAAGTACATAGCAGTTGAAGAGAATTGGATGGGTTGGGGAAGAGTTTTGCAGCCATGGTCAAAAGATGTGGATTTGAACATCTGCCTTATCAACAGTTAATCTCTCTGAGGCTCAGTATCTATAAAGTGGGGATAAAAATACCTCAAATTTATTGGGCATTCTATGTGCCAGGAATATTAATACCCATCCTGTCTTTAAGAGCAGTTGTAAAGACCAAATAGAAAAAGTTATAAATATCCTACATAAAAGCATGTAAATAACTATAAAAGATCATACTACAATTTGGCCACCAGTGAACACTTGGGGCAGGCAACTTCTGCACTGCAGTTTCTTTGTTACTGCCATTTGACCTGATCCGGCTTTCATACAACATGAATCAGCACTATTGGATCATATCAAAAATTATTTCCATTTGCCAGTGAACATAACAGTAATCTACACGCATGCTACTCAAATTGTGGTTGAGGACCAGAAGCATCTGTATCATTTGGGAGCTTGTTAGGAATGCAGGCTCTCAGGCCCCACCCCAGCCTGCTAGATCCAGACCTTATTTTGAAATACATCTGCAGGCAGTTTGTACACACATTAAAGTTTGAGAAGAAGCATTACTCTACACAAAGTTGCATGTGAAGTAAATTTAGGACAAGATAATAGAACAGAAAATGGGAAGCACGTGGGTCATAGTATGAATAAGTAACAGAAGTAGACCATGCCACTATAGAAAATGAGGATAGTGGCTTCTTTTACTAATGTAGACCTCAGCCACTTTTGGTATAGG